CTCTCTCTCTCTCTCTCTCTCTCTCTCTCTCTCTCCGGTACTAACCTGTGAAGTTGGCGCCTTGATGCAGGTACCTCGAAGATGGAGCTGGAGCTATGGCGCCACAGGTAAGTCTCACTGGCCTCCGCCAGCCATCCCTCTCCAACACTACTACCACTACCACTACTTAGCGCCCTGCGCTGAAGACTACTCCTGCAGCTACTAGCGCCCAGCGCTGAAGACTACTGCTAGCGCTAAGCTACTCCTGCAGCGCTCCTCCAGAGTGCTGCTGCCGAATCCTGAAGACTGCCTCCTGCCTTCTGTCCAACTACCTCCCGTGAAGTGCATGGGAACTCCCTATGTACTACTCGGCTTGCCTCCTGACTGTAGGGCGAGGCAGTCCAGGAGGCTGCTCTTGCCAATGCCAGGGCAAGCTAGGGGTTGGCGCTGCTCCTGTTGAGGCTGGCTTGGGGAACAGGCCGAAATAGCCTGTTCCCGAAACCTTGGTTTGTTGCCTGAGTTCTAGGGCAGGACGATCTTATGAGGGCCCGAAAGTGGCCCTCCGTTTCAGGCTGAAAAGACTCAAGGCTGAAAAACCTTGTTTTAGGCTGACAATGAAAGAGGGCCTGCAGGCCCTCGTTTTCAGTTTTCAGGCTGAAACGACATGGGGCCTGTAAGCCCTTATTTCTAGGCTTTTAGGCAAAGAATGCGGGACGGGCCCTGCAGGCCCGTGTGGCTACGCAGTATGCCATAGCCCCCCCTCCTTGAAAGACCGAGCTTACCTGCGAGGGCGAAGCTGTCTGTCTGAGGGAGGGACCACAGTCCGGGTGGGAGGGGCAGGTCGTGAAGTTTCCTGAGCTAACCTTTGTCGCTCGTAGTGAGCGTAGATCAGCGGTGCGGATGCTTTCAAATCTGTTCTTGAAATCCACCGAGTGTCTTCGGGATCGCATGCTTTGAATGTAACTTTGTACTGTCGAGGCTTGCTGCCGTACTTGCGATCCGTGATGACGAGGTCAACTTCCTGATGACCATCCATAGATGGAGGGTCCTGCGATCGTCGGCCCGGGAAGTCGTCGCTCCTAGCTGGTGTATATGTTGCCAGCTTCGAGGCGTGAAAGACTGGATGGACCGTCAGATGCGGGGGGATGTTGATCACAAATGAAGGGTCATCGAGCTCATCGCCCGTGGCTGATGTTACGGGCCATGATCCAAACCACTTGGGAAGCAGTTTGCGTGAAACATCCTGTTCCAGTGCAAACTCTTCCGCGGAGACCCAAAGCAGATAACCGGCGCGGATGGGACATGGCACGCGACGCCTGTTGGCTTGCTGCTGCATGCGGACTTGAGCCTTTTGCATATTCGCGCGTGCTTGAGCCAGCAATTCCTTCTACTTCCGGACGGAAGTGAGAGAGCAAGCAGCGTCGATGTCCGCTGGTCGTGGGAGGAGAAGGTCGGCGAAGATACGACCTTTCCGTCCACCGTGGTGCAACTCGAATGGAGTCACGCCGATCGCCGGGTGCACCGAAGTGTCGTAGGTGAACTCGATGTCGGGGAGGCGGTCAACCCAATCTTTCTGGTCCGGACGGATGAGCGTACAAAGCATCATTGAGCGGTTTGATGTGCCCGCTCCATTTGCCCGTCCGTCTGTGGATGCCGAGCCAAACTTGGTTTCATCTTCGTGTCGGACTCCTGCCTGAGAGCAGTCCAAAATGCCGACATGAAGCGAGTGTCGCGGTCGCTGACTATGTCTTCCGGTACACCGTGGCCGCAAATCCAGCTGGTGTGCAAGAGGCATGCCAGCTCGGGAGCCGTGGAGTAGTACTTGCAAGGGAGAAAAGCGTGTACTTACTCAAACGGTCCACGACCGTGAGGATGCCGTCGTGCCCGAGGCGATCGCGGGGAAATGGTCCGGTGACATCCATGGCAATGGAGAGGCCAGGTTCCCGTGGGATAGGCATCGGGCGCAACTCGCCGTAGGGGTTGCGATTGCGGGGCTTGCTTCGTCGGCAAACTTCGCAAGAGTCGCAATACTGAGTGACATTGGTAATGAGGTCGGGCCATCAGAATCGTTGTCGAAGTCGTGCAATAGTGCGGTTGACTCCAAAATGGTCGGCGAGTCGCGAGTCATGGTACTCCCCGAGAAGGCGAGTCCGAAGACGACGGTCTCGTGGGACACACAATAAGTCCTTGCCTCTCGAGTGGAGGAGCAAGTACCCGTCGGCAATGCGATAGTGGCTGGCCGGCGGGTGATCCGAAGATAGTTGCGCATGCAACGTGGCGAAGTCCGGATCAGACTCATAGCCCTGGATGAAGTGTCGCTGGAGTTCCTCGTCAAATGCGAAAGCATGATGTGTCATAGCGCAAAGATCAGGTCTTCGCGAGAGTGTATCTGCTGCACGATTGGAGAGGCCGGGGAGGTGTTTCGGTGTGAAGTCAAATTGGTCGATGAAGTACATCCATCGCCCGATCGTGCTGCTCACCGTATCCTGCGTCTTGTAGTAGGTCAATGGGTTGTTGTCCGTGACCCATGTGAACCTACGACGCCCAAGGAGGAAGTGCCGCCATCACTTGAGAGCCATCACGAAAGCGAGCAGCTCCTTCTTCCTTGCATCATCAAGTGAATTGATGGGAGGCACTTTGTGGCTGAAATACTCCACAGGGTGCCAGTCGTCGCCGTCGTGTTGTTCCAAGACTGCCCCAATGCCGTAGCCGGAAGCGTCGGTTGTCACTCTCGTTGGCAGGGTGGGGTCGTAGATGCTAAGGACGGGTGCCATGAGCATGGCCGTCTTGAGTGCTTGGAATGACCGGCGTGCATCGTCATCGAATACGAATGGCACCTTTGGCGATTGTAATCTCGTCATAGGTGCGGCAATCCTTGAGTACCCGGTGATGAAACGCTGATAGTAGCCCGCCAACCCCATGAATGAATGGACGCCCGTGGTGTTGGTGGGCTCGGGCCATACGCGGATGGCCTCGATTTTCTCCGCAAGCGGACGGATGCCTTGCGACGTCACATAATGTCCCAAGTACTCCAGCTCTTGCCGTGCGAATTCGCATTTGTCGCGGTTGGCTTTGTACTTGGCTTGTCGTAGCCGCTCCAAAACGGTGCGCAAGTGCTTTTCATGCTCGTCCAAACTCCGACTGTACACCAAAATGTCGTCGAGGTAGATAAGTACGAATCGATCCAGCATGTGTCGGAACTCCGTTGTCATAGCCGCTTGGAAAGCGGTTGGGGCATTCGTAAGGCCAAACGGCATAACCGGCTATTCAAAATTCCCATATCGTGTCTTAAACGCAGTCTTGTAGCGGTCCTCCTGTCAGATCTCGAGTTGGTGATATCCAGATTTGAGGTCTAGCTTGGAGAAGAACTTGGCGCCGCCCAGCCGTTCGAGGAGGTCGTCGATGCGTGGAAGAGGGTCGACATTCTTGACCGTTTGCGCGTTGAGCTTGCGATAATCGATGCACAACCGCAGATCCTTGTTCTTCTTCCAGACGAAGAGAACGGGAGCATCGTATGGCGATGAGCTAGGCCGAATCCAGCCTTTCTCCAGAAGGTCGTCGAGTTGTGTCCGTAGCACAGTCAACTCTTCCTCGCTCATTCGGTAGATGCAACCGCGCGGAGGTTCAGCCCCGTCCTCGAGGATGATCTCGTGGCGGATGGGCCGATCCGGTACTACTCCGTGCGGGCCTTTGAACACGTCGCCGTAGGCGTCGAGAAGCTCGGTGATGCGTGGGTCCGAAGATGAGTCCGTCGATGAAGCGTCATGGGGCGGGAGGGCGTGGAGAAAACACACCCCCATCTCCTCGATGTCGTCTCTGATGATGGAAGCTCGCATGCTTGCGGCGGACACCATGTGGCAGCTGATCGAAGGGTGAGGAGGAGGCACCGTGCATGGGACTAGTACTCCGTTCCGATCACGAATGTGAACGGTGTGGCGGTAGAAGTTCATTGGGTGATCCTCGCTTCGCAGCCATGACATGCCCAAGATCATGTCGAATTTGGCGTCCAAAATATCGAAGGACACCGCCTCGCTTGCATGCGGGGTAAAGTACACGGGGACGTCATCAATGCACCGGTCGATTGACTTGTGCGTGTGACCGTCTGCCAACGTGACTTGCGTAGGCAGGGACGTCCTCCGGACGCGTGGGCCAAGGCCGGCGCGTACCATAAAGTCCTGGCTCATGTAGTTGCGAGATGCTCTGCAATCGATCAAAGCGCTGCAGGTCGCCTCTCCGATTTGAATGCGTACATATAACAATGGTGCGTCGATGTCGTCGTACCGTTGTGTCCTGAACTCGCGGTCGATCTTCGCAATGTAATTGTAAAGGTCGACAACCTCTACTTCGACGTCCATCAACGCAGTTGGTACTGCAGTGTGCAAGTAATCCCGCAATTGTGCGGTGAGCACGTTGCAATGAGGTTTCGACAATCGACCGGACTGAGGAAGGGGCATCCATTGGAAGTCCGCAAACGTCAATGGGTCGAGCTCTTGAGTCTTGACCATGTCGTCGAATCCTCGGCTATAGATGGCGCCGAAGCTGCCGACTCGGTTGCCGATGGTAGTGAAACCGTGCATGCGGTGGATTGTTGCACGTGGAGTGGTTGGTCCAACAGTGGGACCAAGTGGACAGCATAATCCTCGTAAGTGTACCGAGAACTTGCGACATTCGCATCCTCCCCAGATGTGTAGGAGACCGCTAGCAAGGCGGCCAAATCCGGCGGAGTGAGAGGTGGAGTCGCCTCACCTCCCGCGCAACTCAGTTTCTCGAGTTGATGCGAGGTCGAACATCCTCCTTGCCTTGATCCGGGCATTGGGAGGTCTTGTGCTTGGTGCTGTTGCACCAATAGCAGCCGTAGCGGCCGCGCCACTTGTATTCCGCCTCGGTCAAGTGAAACTTGACCCATGGTGTTGGCTGTCCGTTTCTGGCCGACGATGCGGTTTTTGCCTTCGCGTTTCCTCCGGACTTGTTGTTGCTTCGCGGCTAGATAGCAGCCACCTGATCTCCCTCACGTGACGCTTGGGTGGCTGTCGGGTCTTCCACAATGTTGTTCGATTGGACTGCAGCAACATTTTGCGGCCGCGGACCAGTTTTCACCTTCTCCACATAGGTTGGCTGCCATGCTGATTTCTCGTGTGCAACTGCCCTATTGGTCTTGATGATCTCCCTTGCCTTGTCGATGATTTCAGTGAAGGTTGTGTATTGCTCGCGATCACCAAGTGCAACGCTCAAGGCGGCACATGACCGGTTGTAGAACTCGCGGCGCAGATGCGAAAATGGCAAGTCAAGATTGGGCGTTGCCGTGATCTTTTGCCATTCCGTGAGCCAGTCACGTGTCGATGTGTTGCCTTGCGTCATTGCGAAGAGGCGGTTGATGGCGAGTGCTGGCGCGTCGTCCACGATGAACCACTTCTTCCACATCCGTGTTAGCTCTTCCCAAGAGATCTTGTCTTTCAGATCTGCGACGTCTACGCCGTGGACGGTTGCCAGGTGGCTCAACCAGATCTGGCATCCGCCCTTTGAGTTGAGGAACAGCGCGCCGATGTGCGCGTGCTTGGCGACGAAGAGAATCCGAAGTTGCGTCGTAAAGCCCTCCCACCAGAGGACCGGGTCTTGATGCGTATAATCATCGAACTTCTCGATTTGGAATGTCGGCATCTTGTAGTGCTGCACGTTGTTGCCATCCTTGTTAGGCAGCTGGTGCAGTTGCTGAACCTCGGTCTTCAAGGTGTCTAGTTGCTTGCTGATGGTGGCTGGCGCCGCGAAGGTGCTGATGTCACCTAGCATTGCTACTACGTGGTCGACGCGTTCCTCCAGTTGGCGGGTAGAGGGTGCACTGCTGGTCTCGCTAGCATTCGGTCTTGGTGCAACTTGCTCCAAGTCCTGTACACGGGAATGAAGTGCCCGTGTAGCATCCTCGTGCAGATCCTTGTGGTTCTGCATTGCCCGTCGGAGAACCGCCAGCTCGGACTGCAGGTGGTTACAAGTGTAAACCAACCTAGTCATGAGTTTGGCCATGAATTCCTTGTGCTGCTCCTCCGGTGTCGCGTCGTCGTGCTCCTCGGATGGTTCAAAGTGCCAAAACTTGAGCTTTTCGATGCTGGTGGCTTCATGCCGCTGTAGCAGATCCAGGGCTTCCTTGAGGCGTGCCTGGGTATATGCGTCTGCTTCGGCCTGAAGCCGCTGCTTCTCGGCTATTGCCGCCGCTTCAGCCTGTAGGCGGACAGCCTCGGCTGCCACCTCGCGCTGTTCCTCAGCCTCGATCAGTGTGAATTGAGTCTGGAACCGCTGTTTGTACTCGGCAATTGACTCGTTGGCCAGTTGGCCTGGCATGCCCCGAGCTGAGCCCGTCATGGTGGCGGGGCACTGCTGACGTGGCACTATGGCACTGTTGACGTGGCACTGTTACTGACGTGGCACTGCTGACGTGGCACTGTTGCTGACATGGCACTGCTGACGTGGCACTGTTGCTGACGTGGCACTGTTGCTGACATGGCACTGCTGACGTGGCATTGTACCAACCCGGAAATGCATGCAAAGGGGTGGGTGGGAGGGAAAATGCAGGTAGGTAACCAACCCAACAATACTTTCCTCCCGGCCCTAATCAACAGATAAATAAATAAAAAAATAAAAAAAAAGAGGACTGTTTCCTTTTTTTTTTTTTTTGTATATCTGTCGATCTGTTATGGGTGAGGCATGTCAGAAGAGTACTATGAGCGAGATCTAGGCTAGGTTCCGCAAAGTTTCGGCTTTCACCAAAAATGCGATCTTGAAAAAAAAAAATTGCAAAATAGAGTAGAGATGCGATTTTCAGAAAAGAACTAAATCCAGTTTCTGAGAATATGGCAACCTCCTAATATGCCTAACGAAATGCTGGTAGGCTTCGCAAGATTTCGGTTTTCAAAAAAAATTGCGAGATAGAATGGAGATTCGATTTTCAGAAAAGAATAAATCCGGTTTCCGAGAATATGACCACTTCTATCGTTATCCTAATATGCCTCGAAAACAAAATGTTAACATCCGAAATTTTCAGCTATGTATGCAAATATCAGAGAAACGAAATGCTACTAYCAGGAATTTTCAGATAAAACGAAATGCGATTATCAGAAATTTTCAGATATTTGTTGCGTGAAAACGAAATACTAATATCAGAAATTTCAGGTAAAATGAAATGCGATTATCAGAAATTTTCAGATATTTGTTGCGAGAATTTTTTTTTCCAGAGATTTGTCGAAGTCCTACTTGATTTACTAATGAGTAATCAATAGATCAAGCAAGCTGGCTACTTAATTGAGCGGGTCCTCTGAATGAGAGGTCCACTCCGATACCAAACTGTTGCATACTGTAACGGTGCAGACCAGAACAAGAACCGACCTCTCTCACAAAGTACAAGATAGCGTAGCGGAAGACTTAGATATCAATGATCCGAACAGTCAATATTGCAATGCAGCCCCGAACACATATCATCATCATCCCATGGTGTGAAGGGGTATGGCGTTCACACAGGAAGAATGCGCCAGCCCCAACCATTCACAGACGAAGAAGAGGGGGGTTAGACGAAGAAGAGGGGAAGATGGGAATGTCGTCAACACCAAGTCTTCGGCACAAGCCCAAATAGTCCCTCGTCAAAATGTCTGAATCCCAATGTCGAGTCTGGATCCAATGTCGGCAAGTCTCAAGTCACAACTCTCTCTCTCTCTGTCGTAGTCCGCTGATACTAAGAAGTCAGGTAGTGAGAGGGTGAAGAAGAGATGGTGGACTTAGAAGAG